GAGGAGGTGGGTGGGTGAGTTGGGGGGGGGCGGGCATGAGGAGAGGAGTCCCTGTGGAGGACCGCTGCAGCCCTAATTCTCCCATTCCGGAAATTCCTCCTGCCAACCTCTGCTCTGGCAGCTCAGCTGGCCTGAGCCCTCACAGCAGAGACGCTGGCTCACTCATTTCTGCATTTGTGCCCTGGCCCCGGGCGCAGGGCTGAGTGTGCCTGTCCGATGAATGAGAGCTGTGCTTTGTCTTGTGCAGGACAATGGCTACTGCACCGTGGGGGTCGAGCCCACCTACCTGCCCTCCCCGAACGGCCAGCCCCTGTGGATCCTCGGGGACGTCTTCCTCAGGTCCTACTATTCTGTCTACGACATGGGCAACAACAGGGTGGGGTTCGCCACTGCCGCCTAGACCCAGTGCCTGGACGGCTGGGCTCCCCTCTTCCTCTCAGCCCCCCACCTTGCAGGGGCTTCTCTCTGTGCTTCTCTGGATCCAGCCTTCCTTTTCTGGACTCTGGACTTTTTCTAATAATAAATAGTTCTTCTTCATGTTGGTCAGCCTGTTGTTGTTTTCGAGGGTCGCTGTGACCCGTAAAGGCCGCGCCTGGTCTTAAGGAGTGGGGAGCGAGCGTTAGGGGCGAAGTTGCTTCCGCTGAACCATGTTGTCCCTCAATTGCTTCCAGGTTTCTGGGTGGGCTCCTGAGATTGTAAGAGAAATGGGGCATAAGGGAGGGCTCGGGGATGGGCCCTGTGCCCTTCAGAGCTTCTCTCTGCAGAGGGAAGACAATGGTAGCGGCATCAAGGCAGGGCATTTCTTTGTGAAGGGAAAAGGGGCCCTATTCTGACAACCCAAAATGCTCTGCTGACCTAACTAATCAAATTACCACCAGAAGTACCTCCTGAGATTGTAAGAGAAATGGGGCATAAGGGAGGGCTCGGGGATGGGCCCTGTGCCCTTCAGAGCTTCTCTCTGCAGAGGGAAGACAATGGTAGCGGCATCAAGGCAGGGCATTCCTTTGTGAAGGGAAAAGGGACCCTATTCTGACAATCCAAAATGCTCTGCTGACCTAACTAATCAAATAACCACCAGAAGTACCCACCCCCGATGTCCACAGGCATGTCCACTAGCAGTGTGGCCGGGGGGAGGGGGCAACAAATCTAAGTCCACTTCCTTATCTGGGATCAAGCTTGCGCTGGGAGCTTCCGGAAGCATGCTGGATGCCTCGGATGCCTACGTGCACTTGTAACAGTCATGGGTCCTCCAGGGAGGAGGCTAGTGCCACCAGAACCTATTTCCAGGAGGGCTTCTGAAGGTCTGAGCTGAGTTAGGCTGAGAATATTTTCACCCAGGACCTGTGTTTGAAGAAGGGCTGGCCCTCAAAAGTGCACAGGAGGGAGAGCTACTTAAATCACATGGGCTCTAACCAACTGTCCCTCTATCAGCCGTGGGCAAACTACGGCCCGTGGGCCGGATCCGGCCTGTTCGGCTGTTCTATCCGGCCCGCGGAGCCGAAAGAGCAGAGGGTTCTCTTGCTCTACCCAGCAGCAATGTTAACATGTATTAGTTCACACAAACACTCCATCCATGCTTTTGTTCCGGCCCTCCCGTCCAGTTTAAGAACCCATTGTGGCCCTCCAGTCAAAAAGTTTGCCCACCCCTGCATCCCTGTCCTCTCTAGGAACCACCTAGCAAGACCCAGAGGCAGGGGGTGGAGGAGGGAGATGGGGAAGGGTGGAGGAGGGGGAAGGAGAGGGGAAAGCAGAGAATGATGGCTCAGGACCCTGTAACTTCTTCCAACAGGGGAAGGTGACATGGAAGATCAGAACATTCCTGGGTGTGATAGCGGTGGGGGGCACCAGAAAGCGGGACTGATGAGACCTGGGTTGGGAGGGGCAGGCTGTACATGCAAAACTCATAGCGGGCGGGAAGGGGGGCTCCATTCCACGCCACACTTCTTTCATCCTGTCCTTCACAGGCTGACCCCAACCTTGCCCCTTATGTCCAGAAGCAGGTGTAAATGCGCAAATCAGGTGGCAAACTCCCGTTGCCACTGGAGAGTTCCTATGGCAACAGCACACCCCCTGGGACCCTACATCTTCCCTAGATTCTTGGGAAAGACAGCCTGCTCTGTGCCTTTCCTTGGGGTCGGAGAGGCAACAGGGTGCATAGTAGTGCGCTCCGGTTCGGGACATCACTGACTGAGAAGAGAAAGAAAACTTGCAAAAGGGGCAGAAACGAAGTGGATAGATAACAGGTTCCAGGTTAAACGCCAAGTCGCTGTCTACCGCCTTGGGCCCAGGGAGCGGACTACAAACCCCGGCGTGCCT